TGCTCCATTTGCCACAGGAAGTTCCCAACTTCCTTAGCATCTCTTGAGCCATCAAAACGGAAGGGTCTCGGGAAATCCACTCTTCCCGTCCCGGGGTTGTTGGTACCTCCATTGGCAACTGCCTTCTTGCACAATGCGAGATCTTCTTGCATCACCTCGATGCTCACCTTTAACGACTGGACTGCCCCCATCACTGTCTCTTCCAACCTGGTGAATCGCCCCTCGATCCCACCCAAGTCATTCTTGACTTCTGCCATCTCGTTGAACAGTGCGTTCTCGAGTTCAGAAGTCGAGTGTTCGACTCGCTCTAGTCGTTCACCCATATCGGTAATGGCTATCTCCATAGCCCCGATCTCATCACGGACCTTGCTCCTGTCGCGCTTCCTCCTGGTAATGTTCTCAAGGCCGTCCTGGTCTTCGCCTCCATCGGTACTCCTGAGAACATCCTCGGTGTTCGACATTGCTCGGCCTTTGAACGAAACTCGGCTCTGATACCACGTGTCACAGACTTGATATTTGAGATCAATTCCGTGCGGCCCTAGCCTCTCTTTGCCCCAGCAAATAGACTAGGCAGGCTGACTCACAAGAAAACCCAACCCTTTTTAGACTGAACTTGAAAGAAAGAAGGGAAAATGTTTGAATAGCTCTTTTATTCAAGAAATGAGTAGATGATTACAAATGAGGGATCCCACCCCTATTTATACAAAAAACACCTCCAAGATGGATGGTGAGGATCAACTTGATCTAAGGGCTCATATTGAAGATATGGCCTTAACTCCAAGATCTGCAACTAATGAGGGCGGATTTGTAGGGATTTGAGTGGGTCTGTAGGGATTGATGGGTTGACTGAGCAGATTCTTTGGGATCCTCATAATTGCCATCAACCTTCTAGAAGCCCTTACAAAGCCAGCTATCGTGATAACCTCAAGTAGAGCCTTGCTGGTCCGGTCCAAATAGATGCTATGCAAAATAAGCCGTGATATAGTGCTTATTAAAATCCTCTTAGAATGAGTTTTTGAAATAAATAAATCAGTAGATACTTTGGATATGAATTCAATTGAAATACTGAAAAGTATGTAAACAAATTAAGAGATGCCACATGAATTGGAATTGGTTGAACATTAAATTATATCTGTGAAGGTCGATAAAGAGTCAATATACTAAAATCGACCAAGGACCACTTCACACATGGTTGTTGAGGAGAACTTTGAGAAGATTGTGAAGCAAGATTGAGACTGATTTTTTTTTTTTTTTTTTGTACTTTTGACATGAATCTAACGGTCTATCTTTTTACAAGTAATTAGCAAAAACCGCAACTTTATGAAATTAGAAAAATAGTGATGATGTGATCATACAATTTTTGGACAATTTGATATTTCATTTAACTGTTTTGATGAGACGGGTGGTTTCTTTTCATAACATGAACTTTCTTTTGAATATAATCATCTAAATTTATAAATAAACCTATATCATGATTTTTACCATAACATTTAATTTATCGAATATATAGATATTTCCGTCATCTAACGTCCACAAATTAAATCAGTCATCCATAAAAAAAAATGTTACGGAAAGAAATGATGCGTCTTATAACAATCAATAAAAAAGACAAAAAGATAAACCCTTAAAAAAAAATAATGAAGTGAGGGATAAATCCTCAAAAAAATTGATTGTTGCCTCCTCATTGCTAATTTGCTCATTTCTGTTAAAGTTACTATCATTTTGGAAAGTAACACTTTTTTCTTCACAAATGCATATTTGCATAGTTTTAGTAACTTTGGGTTTAATTAATGATATTGATATTGTGTGTGTGCATTGTTTTGGTACAATAATCGGTGCAACAAGTATCGATATGCTGGTTTATATGTTCCAGGTGACCAACTGAAATCATGTTGTATCACCATGCACATCACTCTCAATAATAAATATATTAATATATATTACATAACTTTGTTCCATTATTATAAAATAGATTCCAGAGTGTCAAGTGTTGTATAAATGTTCATGGATTGATTTGCAAGTGCAACCACAATGTCCACCATTTGTTCCCTGACATAAATTAGTATTGGATCTTTATTTCTAAATATGCATTCCAATGCTAGGTCGATGCAGACTCGCAGCTCTAAATAAAAGTTAGGGGGTTATTAGGAGAGGAATTTATATAGATTTTAAAAATTTTGAAATTCCATCATTATTGGTTTATTGATTCTTAAAATCTTAATAGAATCCATTGTTATGGATTTTAAGATTTTAAAATTCCATCCAAAATCCTTTATTATTCAAAAGTTTGATTTTTAAAGATTTTATGATTCTATTAAAATTTTATGTTATTGAGATATGTATTTTAAACAATTTAACTTATAGAATAAGATTTTGGAAGACTTTATCCTTATGTTTGATTAAACATCTGACATTAATTAGCAGTTTCAATTTTTAAGTATACAATATATATGCTTTGTGATGGCCATGATATTGTCGATTCCTTGGCAAAAATGGCTTACTATTGGCAAAATCAAATTACTCAGATTTATTTTGTCCTCCTAGTCTGATCACCTTACTGTTCAAAAACTTTATACATTTATCATACGTTTGAAAATAATAATGTGAATATCCATAATTTTTGGTACTATCAACTCTTAACATTAAGAGAAAAACACAATTTTTTTATCTTCTATCAATTTGAGAACTTAACAAGGAATTGATAGAAACTACATTCTTAAATTGGATTGATGTAAAATAGATTCCAGAGTGTCAAGTGTTGTATAAATGTTCATGGATTGATGTGCAAGCGCAACCACAATGTTCACCATCTGTTCCCTAACATAAATTAGTGTTGGTTCTTTATTTTTAATTACGTACTAGATGAGTACTCGCGTCATGCGCAGATCTTTTTTCACAATATAATTTATTAAAAAGTGTAGTTACAATTTATTTTATTGTATATTTAAATTTTTCTTAAAGATATTGTGTATTTGAATAAACATACAATATATAATTACATATTATGTGGCAATTAACTATATATGTGATAAATGGTTTATTGATAAGGAAATGTGTAATATGTTATACCTTGTATATATAGAATATATTAAATGAATATATTGCAAATCAGAGAAGTACTATATAACAAAAATTAATTAGAAAAACTCTTCAAACACAACATAGGTAGAGACGACCATTTTTAACATATAGTATTTGTTCACGGCGCAGATTTACACAATAGCAACGCCGTCGTTTTATATTTTTTATGAGATTAAATAATTGATTTATAATTGCATTATACATTTTATTAATAAATATATTAGGACTTTGATATCTTATTAATTTAAAAATTATTAATGTACCAAGTTTGAATAAAATAAATTATCAAATATTTATTAGTTTATAAAGAAATTGTTTTAAAGTTTATTATATTATTGTATACATTTTTCTTCTAACTTTTTTAAGTTTAAAATATCAAATAATTTTTATTTTTATATTTGTATAATTGTTTTTATAATAATAACTTATGATATTAATTAGAAATAAGAAAACACTCTTAAATAAGAAACATAAATATTTTTAATGATTTTTAAAAACTACTATAAATAGATATTTAATAACTGTTTTTGGATATTAAGTATATATTGTTATTAAAATATATTATCTAATACTCTATATTTTTATATTATTTTGATATTATGATTAATAATCCATTAAATTTATGCATTAATTGTATTTTATATAATTTGTATCATTAAATTTTAAAAATGACACATGTCATTTTTACAATAAACCAAAATAATGAGGTCGCACTCATATAGAAAAAGTTGACCATCTATTATAGATTCGAATGCTAAGTTGACGCAGACTCGCGTCTCTAAATAAAAGTTATACTAGTGTTCGATTGAACACTTGACATTAATTAACAGTTTCAATTTTTAAGTATACAATATATATGCTTTGTGATGGCCATGATATTGTCGATTCCTTGGCAAAAATGGCTCACTACTAGCAAAATCAAATTACTCAGTTTTATGTTGTCTTCCTAATCTGATCATTTTATTGTTCAAAAACTTTATACATTTACTATACATTTGAAAATTAATAATGAAAATTGTAATGACCCGATCCAGTCCATTTGAATAAATTTAAATGGATTGATTTAGCTACTTATGTCACCAAAACGTATTTATGTTTTAGGTTAGTGGGTCTGAGAAAATTCCAAAGTTAAACGTGTTTGAGCTAGAGTATGATTAAGATGAGTCATCTTTCGGGAAGTGATTTTCGAAACCGTGTGAGTGAGACCAAAATACGGAGAAAGATCATGTAGTGATTGCAAGGCCAGTAAATAAGTCGGTTGGACTCCGAAAAAAATAATGCACTAACTGTCAGACAGAGATGGAACCCACAAACTCGACAGAGAAATGAATGACTCGCCGGTAAAGATGGTCGGGGTGTTAAAAAATACCCCTAATTTTTGGTACTATCAACTCTTAAAAAACACAACTTTTTTTTATCTTCTATCAATTTGAGAACTTAACCAGGGATTGATAAAAACTACATTTTTAAATTGGTTGAGCAAGTGAGTAGTGAGCCTAAAATGGTCTCTTACCTACTTCGTTGCTACCCATGTTCATGTTCGAGAGAATATGGATCTTCTCTCTCCAAACTTTTCGAGCGAAAAATATTTGTATTTTGCAATATTGTTTAAAGTTCAGAAAAAAGATTTATTTATTGTTTATTTAAAAGAAAAAATTGGAATTTGTTTGAGTCAAATAAAATCCTTTCTCTTGACCCCATCAACTAATTATTTATTTAAATATACTACTTTCGATCAAGCCCATAATTCGATATGGGTTTATAAGCCCAATATAAAAATCTTTTTTCCTTAACAAATCAGATAAATTAGGCCGAAAATTGAAATTTTTGGAAAACCACAAAATTCGGATAACTCCGAAACTCATATAGTTCTCTACGCCGACTACATCACTCAAAAAAGAAGATCGTTACCACAAAGACTGATTTGCCCATATTTTGCCACGTGTACAAGTTTTTGACGATTAATACACACTAACTACATACACCTCCACGCAGCAGATTATTATTTACCGATACAAAAATCTTTAAAAGATATTATTTTATGACTTCGTATATATACCCCTTAAACCCTACACCTTGGCTTCATTCTCCCATTTCCTCTGCCTCTCTCTCAGTTTACAAAACCCTAGTTTCGAAGTATTCACGAGGTACTGTTCATACTCCATTTTCTCCACCTTCGTCTTAGTCGTTAGCTTTTGATCTGTATCTTTCATGGTAATTTCGTTCATACGTTTGTTTCGATTCGTCTGTAGTGGATCGGGAGCTTGTTAATACTCTCTGTTTTAAGTTCAATCTAGATCTGCTAGTTTCATGATCTGCTCAAATAGATAACTAATTTGTAGTTTTCGTTGTGTTAATGTTTGAGATTGATGATAGTTTTTAGTCTCGAAGGGTTTAGGGTCCTCGATTTGATGTGTCTGTGGTTTAAAACGTGTGTAGAAATGGCTTTCTGCAAAAATCTCGGTGGTCTATTGAGACAAGGGGTGGTTTCTCATACTGGAAATGTTCAGGCTCAGACTATGTTCGGTTCTCTCCGGTTCATGTCTACCAAGCTTTTCGTCGGAGGTAAAAAATCTTATCTTTCTTGTTATGAGATTGAAAAGAATCTTCCTTTCTTAGTGTTTAAACCTGTATGTTAATTTTTGATTCAGGTCTTTCATGGGGAACTGATGACCAGTCCTTGAGGGAGGCTTTTGCTAACTTCGGTGATGTGATTGATGGTAAGTAATGGTTCAGCGTTGAACATTGCAATGATTGCGATATTTTGGTGTCTTGAGATGAGCAAAAGTTTCGTTCTTTTTAAATGTTGTGCAGCTAAAGTCATCGTTGATAGAGAATCAGGGAGGTCAAGGGGTTTTGGATTTGTCAACTTTAGTGATGAAACCGCTGCAAATGCTGCCATTTCAGAGATGGACGGAAAGGTTTGTATTTGAATGGTCAAAGTGTTTTAAAGTCTTGTTTCTGTTTGATGGTTTAACTTGATGCTTTTTTGTGTTTTGGAATTTCAGGATCTGAATGGTCGTAACATCCGAGTGAATATTGCTAACGAGAGACCAAGTCCTCCACGTTACGGAGGTGGCGGCGGCTATGGTGGAGGTGGCGGCGGCTATGGAGGAGGTGGATATGGTGGAGGTGGCAACAGCAGCTATGGAGGAGGTGGTGACGGTGGTTACTAAACAGAGGAGATGCGAGTTAATGGTTCTGTTTAGTAGTTTGGTTTCTTCAATTGAATCTGTCTTTAGTACAAAACCTGAATGGGATTTGCTGAAAACTCATCACTCTTTTTTGTTTATTACCAATTTGGTTTAATATTTTATTGCCCCTATTAGGCGCATTTAAATACGTTTTATCATCTCCATATATTCCACTTCCCACCAGGAAACTCGTTCGAGTATAATCATCCTATGTTCTACGAATTCGGTCGTTGTTTAAACCCTTAGGTCAAGCCATGTTTGTAAACTGTATAAGCCACTGCCTTTTCTCGTGATTTGTTTCACATGGAAACAGTCGTAGTGCTAAAAAGTCCTTTTAACTGTTTGTGTAATGGGTCTTGAGTTTCTGAACGTGGAAGACAACATGTTCAATGACAAGTTTCCTTTCTTGTTGAGATTGTTGCCTGGTTTGCAGGTTCTTGTCCTACGTTCTAACAAGTTCCATGGGCCAATATCTTCTCCTGAAGGTTCTTGGAGTTTCCCCAAGGTACGAATCTTTGACATTTCGGAAAATCGCTTCACTGGGGTTTTGCCATTTGATTACTTTGCTGGTTGGAGTGCAATGTCATCCGTTGTAGATATTGTTGATCATACACCGATTAGATTTGCTGCACACGGCTCAGGGTTCTATCATAACTCGGTGGCTCTCACGAATAAAGGATTAAAAATGGAGCTGGTTGGGAGTGGTTTCACAATCTACAAAACAATCGATGTTTCTGGAAATAGATTCGAAGGAGACATCCCTGAATCCATCTATTTACTTAAGGAACTGATTGTGCTCAACATGTCACACAATGCTTTCACAGGCCGTATTGCATCATCTTCGGCGAACTTGACTAATCTACAATCCTTGGATCTATCTCGAAACAGATTATCTGGAGAAATTCCACCAGAGCTCGGGAAACTCACGTTTCTTGCACGGATGAACTTCTCTTACAACAAACTCGAAGGTGCAATACCACAAGGCACTCAGATTCAAAGCCAGGCTAATTCTTCATTCGCTGGGAATCTCAGGCTCTGTGGTGTTCCTCTCCAAGAAACCTGCGGCAGAAAAGAAGAAGAAGAAGAAGCAATAAAGCAAGAGAAAGATGAAGATGAAGAAAAGGAAGAAAAATATCAAGTCTTTAGCTGGACTACAGCTGCTATAGCCTATGTACCTGGTGTTGTGTGTGGACTCACCATCGGCCACATTCTACTTTCACATCAAGCATCATTCGTTAGAAGGATGGTGTCTTCTTGAAATAATAAATCAATAAAAAATGGTATTCACTTTCTTGATTTGCTTTGAATTGATTCGAGTTATTGCTAATGTTTGCAAAAGTTAAATCAAGGTATGGAATCAACAAGACAAATTCCCATTTTTGCTTATCTCCGCCAAATTAGTCATTGGTTAAATCTGAAAGATTCATGGCATACGACAAGAATTTTGATCATCGAGAGAGAGAGAGTTGATAACTTTTTTGTGTGTTATCAGAGTGACTTGGAGGTCTGAACGAAAGCATCAATTTTTATAAAAAAATATTAATATTTTTCTAATAGAGGCAAAAAGAATTCAGCGTCGTTTTGTTATACCATCGCTAGAACAGCAGTATCATGATATAATATTGGTGTTTCATTCTAAATATATGTGAATAATATATTCATATTACATATTGCTATGATGTTTAAAGATGCATGATCATGTCATCTAATATATTTCTTGTAATTCAGGTTTCACTTTTACATATATATGTATCCCATCCATAGCTTCAACGAATCCACTAAAAATTGATAATATGTTCGATCTATGAAAAGTCTTTCAGGAATCCAGTATAGCTCTTCTTTAGTTGGAGTTCTAATATAATCACATGCTAGTCGCAGTAAGAACTTCAATAATTTTTCTCTGCACATTCTCTTGATTTCGGCTAAATTTCAAACTAACATCTCTTTTCTTTATGCTCACATATCCGTAAAAAAAGCGACACTTTCTTCAACGCTTATATTTAATGTTGGCTGTAGTCCATAATTTTTTTGAAGCGTCTCACACAGTTGTACTGGTGCTCTTTTAAAATATCTCTGATAGTAAGTAAGTGTTGGTTGAATTACTAACTCTGCAAATTACTCATTTTCCAAATTTTACAATTCAATTCTCTCTTCGTAACTTAGGTTCTGCAATCTTTGTGCTCTCAACTGACATATACATAAATAAAAACACATCATTAAGCAAATATAAATTTATACTAAACAATAACAGAAAATATTAAAACATAATAATCAAAACATATTTTATTATTATTACAGAAACGAAAATGATAAAACATTACTATCATAAACTAAATTTCGTCTTAAGAATCACTTTTATGACATTCATTTATATTTATATCTGTTCTTCTTGAACTTCTCCATATGTCAAATAGACCTCTAGGTGTAGGTGTTGGTGATCAACGGGCAGGATCATAATAATTTGTGAAATCAAGACCGTGTAATGATGTTTCTTGAGCATTTGCTGAATTTCCTACAGCTGCAGAATCTGAAATGTTTTGCTGAGGATTTCTCATACTTTGTTCTTGACTTCCAACTGAAAATCCATATTGAACATTGCTCGGAGTTATTCATGAGGACCCCCTTGTTGATAATTTTGTGTCTGGTTTGGCAAAAACTCCCTTGGTGAATTATTTGGTGGTGTGGCCCATTGTGAAGCATTCGGTGGTGTGCCCCATTGTAGAGCATTCAGTGGTGTGCCCCATTGTTGAGCGTTCAGTGGCGTGCACTATTGTTGAGCATTTGGTGGTGTTCTCCGACCTCCTCGTGAATCACCACCAATAGAAGGTCGTGATGTTTGACCTAATCTTTCTGAAGTACTCCCACGTCTAGCGTTTGTATGAAAATATAACTGTTGGGATCAATCTTACCGCATCTAAAGAGGACGCAACACATGGACATCGAACTGCCCTAAACACTTACACACACCATGTTATCTCGGCCGAACCACTCCCATGCACTATTCTCGGGCAGTTGGCGAGCTTCCCCAAACACACATGAATCATTAGCCCACTTGCTCCTCTGGCATGCTGAATGGAGAAGACAGGACAGGGAGAATGCTAGTATAAAAGGAGGGAGATCTCCACACAAGAAAGAGATCGGCTCGGCGAACCCGACCTAAGGGACCAGACTCTGGGAATTCGATCAAAGGAGAAGAGGTCCGACCACCCTGAACCGAGCTGCACCGCCGAACAGCATAATCGAGAGAGAACCTCCCCGTTCACTTGAGATAATGCCTACCAGGATAAATTCTTCTTGACCTGCAACCTTGCCTTTATACTTGCTAAATCTTCCTCTTTCAGCATAGATTCCCCCTCGAAACACTCGTAAACAGACATATATCTCGATCCCCGGACGAGACTTGTCACCCAAACCCATAGAAATACCCTCCTGAGTATCTGTTCCCAGTAGGACGTTCATTGACTTGGGCGTCAGAGAACCTTAGGGAGAAAAACCCCCTTTCAGTCTTTCCGGAGGCCCGATTGACCTTTTGTGTAGTGTTTACAAGGTTGAACATGTTAACTACCATGCCGATGGGACCCGAACTGGCTTCCACCCCGGAACATCTCGCCGCCTTTCCCCCAGAGGATGAAACTCGGAGGCACAGCTCCACTCTCCAGACAAATAACACACCCTCACGTGGCATCCCAAAATTTACTCCCGAACAATTGGCGCTAAAAGGAGGGGGTCCACTGGTGAACATTCCACGAAGGAAGCGGCCCACACGGATTGACCATGCGAAAGACGTAGAAGGCCTGCGAGCCACAGTTATACTCAACAAGACTCGAAACTCCGAAACCTTCAAAAATTCAGACTCGCAAGACAAAGCAAAACACGAAAGAGCGCTTAAAAGCAAAGATTTGCTAGAAAAAATCATGAAATGCATTAAAAAAGGCCAAAAGCAGCCCCCGATCCAAGGTTCAAAGTTACATTTTATAAGAGACAGAAGTCCACAGAAAAAGAAGGTTGTTAATTTAAAAAACTGGCAGGCGTGAAGATCCCGCCGGTGAAGAAGGGCCCGTGCCTCCAGCTCCCCTTGCTGCCCCTGAAGCATTTGTCCCCCTTGACCCGTTCCGCCGACGCTCCTCTTCGAGCTCCCGCTTGAGCAAGCAGATCGTCGTCTGGCTGTTCGCAAAGGTCTCGGCCACTATCAGTTAGAGATCCATCTCGGCCCCTGGAGTAAATCCTTGGTACACCGCCATGGTCTCACGAAGCCTTCCCACCTCAAAGTTACGGGTCTCGAAGTCCTGTTGGCTATCGGCTAAAGCCATCGTCAGGCGCTTCACCTCAATGCTCACATCCTCTACTCGGGCAGAAGTCTGCGCCTCCGCGAGTTGGTCCGAATGACAAGAAGTTTAGCCTGGAGCTCGCTAGCTCTATCCGCGAGGCCGCGTTCATGGTGCTCTACCGCGTGAAGCTCATGCTCCAACATCTCGAGCGAGCGTTGGTTCTGTTAAAAGAAAAGAAACGAGTAAGGTAATCACTAAGAAACGAAGAGGGATGAAGTCCCCAGAAGAAACTTACCACGTTTAGCGAGCGTGTAAGTTCCAAAACGGTCAGCCGCCACTCGGTAAGTTCACGGGTCGAAGGGGCGGTCGGACGAGGAGGCACAAACACCGGCTCTGACTCCGAAGAGACGCTAATCGTCTTCGGTGAACTCGACGCAACAGGGACCGGGGTCGTAGTTCGCATGGTTCCGAAAATCTCCGCAGTCCTCAGATATTATTGAGCGTCCGCCTCGCTCAAAGTCTCGCAGCCAGCAGAAGAATTAGAGTCTGTGGAGGTAAGTCCTGGGAAGACACAAGATGGACCATGGGATCACGTTGCTCTCACCACGGGGGACCCGGTGAGGCACTTCCGGCGCGAGGGTTGGGACGAAGTATCTCTGGTGGGAGAATCAGCACGACGCCTCCAGCGCGGTGCTTGCACAGGCGTCCTCCGTGCGCGCCGAGTAAACCTCGAGTTGGGTAGTTAATCCCCGGAGGTATAAAGACCCCAAAATTTCTTGATCCGGTCCGGGGAACCTGCCGAAGTAGAATTCGAAAATGGGGTCCGCGAAGCTAACATAGCAAAAAAGTCAGGATCGTTACCTGAGATATCTGGCATCACATGAGACGACAGGATGAGAGAGCTCGCCATGATGCTCATCGGCGAGAGGAGGAAGTCGAACGACCTAAACCGCTCATCTAGTGCGAGCAGCCGGCGCAGCTCAACCTGTTTGAAAGCCTACGACATCGCATAACCTGTCAACACAGAAGATCCGATCAGAGGTCAAATCAAGTGATCAAGATAAACGCAGGAAAAATAAGGCGACGCTTACCGAATCTACCGCGTGGGTGCCAAGTGAGCTGGATGTTAACATCCGGCGGCACCATCCAGAAGAAGTACCACTCGCGCCAATCATGGCTTCCCGAGCGGTCCCCATGGATGGGAGCAGCACACCAATCCCTAGTGTGCAGGGTGTAGCAGAGGGCGTCCATGTTTAGGTTACAGAGCTGGTACGACAACAACACCGTAGAGCTACGGATGCGGATCCAGGACAGGTCCGAAAGAACTTGATAAGCAGATAGGAGCACCTATGCCAAGAGGTGAAGCTGGCTGGGGCAGATGTCGGTAGGGAGGCAGAAGTCGACCGGCATCCGGGAAAGGCTTCCTCGGTACCGTATAGGATGTAGTCATCGTGAATGGCGATGCAATAGTGTGGCGGGTGATCCGCCCAGTCCTCCTCGCTAGGAAAAATGGGGGCAAAACCGGAAAAGGGAGGGTCGTTCGCCTTCAAGACCGTCTACAAAGAGTCCAGAGTGCATAGAGGCTGGTCGCATAGAGCCAGTGGCGGAGACAGAAAAAATATTTACGGGGGTCATAATAATTTTTCAATAACAAAACAAAAGTATAAATTTTATTAAAAAAAATATGAAATTATCCTCAAATCATCAATAATATACATTTTAAAGATGTATTCTACGCTCACTCATATTTTGGAATCGTTTGATCACCATTTCATTTGTTACAGAGTCAAGCACTTGTTTTTCAATAAAACATACTAGACAATCGCTCAAAAATGCATCACCAATACTATTACGCGAAGCCGTCTTCACAATTTTCATCGCAGAAAAGCACTTTTCAACAGTTGCCGTCGTAACCGGAAGAATCAAACATAACTTCAAAAGTCGATAAACCAAAAGGATGAGAAATATGCTTTCTTGTCTCCACCATTACCCGAGCAAGATCACCTAGACTTTCTAGATTTGTAAACCTTTCATCTTTTTGCACATTATCAAGGTAGATGTCAAGTTGTTGATCGAGAGATCGTCGCTCCACAAAACTAAA